AAAAAAGAGCATATGTGATAAAAACAGCGTGGATGGATGGACTTTACTTAACTTTTGTTAAATAATATAAAATGTGTGTATGTATAAAATGAATTAGATAAATTTGGCCAACAAAATTGTTAATTTTTTTTATTTCAAGGCGATAATTTAAATGATTTTACATTTTTCATATTTATGCATGGTATAATTTCTTCAATACATAGGCAGTTTAAATAAATATACTAAGAAGTAATATTTTTGATAAAGAACAAAAAAAAACTTGGAAATTATTAGAAATTTTTAATTATATTTTTTCTACTTTGTCTCTCTTTCTGTTTCTGTCTTTCTCTTTCATAGTGCTGAGCTTATTACTTGAAGCAGTTTGTGCTTCAACATGAAATATTCCTAGATTTTTCAAGTACATGTAAAAATGCTAACAAACTGGTTGGGAGTGAAGCTCAGTGGTAGGGCATGTACTTAGCTTGCAAGAAGCCAAGGTTCACTCCCAAGAACAACCAAAAAAATGATGGTAACCGCACTTTATAGGGCTGGGGATGTAATTCAGTAGTAGAATACATGCTTAACGTTTGTGAGGGCTTGGGTTTAATCTCTAGTGCTACAAAAAAATGAAAAATGTGGGCAAATTCTTTGGACTGGTAGGAATAAAGGTGTCTGATTTGTCTGGAGAAATTTGTTTGGAATGGGAGCTACTTTTTTGCTATACCAGAACTTTCAAATGAAATTCTTTCTGTCAATTTCAGAATTCTTCTAGGACTTTGACTTTGTGTGTACCCTTTGACTTGTGTGTACCTAATCTACATTGTGTGCATACCTCATCCCGACCCTGAAAGCTGTAGAAACCACACATTGCCCCAGAAAGCTGTAGAAACCACACATTGCCCCAGAATCTGAACATCTTCCCTTTTGGGATAGATAGGAATATCTTCCTTTATGACTGTTTGGAGGCATTCTGAGAATTAATGAGGTGGGTCTGTGGAATGCTTTGAGCTGCTCCAATGAAAGGAACAGAGTTCTAATTTTGTTTATAACATACTGTCTGTAGTCAGTGGGTCCACTGAGTCAGACAAGAACAGAAGAAGATGCTGGCATTGAAGATGCCACCAACAATACAGAAAGGGTAGCTTGTTGTTCTAAGTTACAATGCCTGTTACAGCAATAGCAGCTTTTCGTTAGGCAAATGATAAAAATGTAGAGTTAATGTTTCTGGAAGAAGACTTCAATGAATCATAGATGGTGAAGAAATTTCAGCTTCCTTGTCCCTCATTGGGACAACATGGAGACAAGTTGGATACCATGTCCCACAGATGCTGGGAAAGTCTGAGCCTCAGAGATCTCTAGGAAAGCTTGATTGACAGTGCATGCTTTACTTATTTCTTTTCCATCCATATCTCACAGACTATTCCTAGGGCTGTTTTCTGAAATCCCCTCCCAAATACACTTGCACTTGGATCCTTGTTGATGGTAATCCAGATAAGAACATTATGTGTTTTCTCACTAATTTACTTACTTTTTTATATACCTACTGCTACTTCCCTGAGGTTCTAACCCCTTTCTTTTTACCTGTCCAAACTGTCACAGTCAGACACACTTTGGTACAGTCTGACCCTGAGAGTTATCTTCTCTGAAATCAAGATTCTCTCTTTGCTCAGTTGGCAGTTAATCAGACATGTGTGTTCTTTTTGTTGTGAAGTGAGTTAGAATGGAGGAGTTGGAATCAGATGTTTAGATCTGCCTTGGATCCAAATCCATTCCTTATTGTGAAGCCTAGACAAATCTACTAACTTCTCTGATCTTCACTTCATCCTATGTGAAATCAAGATAATTCCTGCCTCATCAGGTGATACTCCAAATCTAACGGGTAGATTGAGGTCCTCTGAACTAAACATACAAGCAGCAGGATATTGCATAATAAAAGAAGGGACTTGAGAAAAGATATTTTTGAAATCTTATTTTATTTAATGTTTCTAGCTTGTTTTCCAATGTAAATTGTAGTTTCTCTATCACATTCAATTTCTTTATCAGTGTGTCTTGTACATTACAGGCACTAAGTAATTAATTTGTTATCAGTTTTCTACAGCTTTAAATTGGAGAGTGCACTCTTAGAAATCCAGGTAAATCTTTATATTGTTATTTGTCAGGCATTCTCAAGGAAATTTTGGGGCCTCAGTTTCCTCTTAGGCAAAATAAATGCTTTGTTCTATCATTCTAGATTCACTGAGGTCCTTCTAGCATGGACTTTTTCCATCGATTACTATTATTTTACTTCTTTTTGATCCCTGTACACCTGAATCAACATTGGTTACAGAGTAACTGACTTTCCAGTGCATACAAAAGTGATTTCAGCTGTCTCACTATCTTCTCCTTGCCCTACCTATGGCTACTCTTCGTACCTTGCGCTGCTCAAGCTGATGTTTTCTTTGCACCTCTAGAACTTTCCAGGCTAGTTTTGTCTGGCAGCTTTTGCCCTTGACGTTTCTCTTCATTTGAGTCCCTGCTCCAATGTTTCCACAGAGACCTCATCCTCGTCTCTGTGCCGTACCACCTCGCTTTGTGGTTTCTGTGTAGTTGCTCTCTGAAGTTGTCTTATTAGTCATTTGATTATTGTTTGCTCCCTCCAATTCTCACCCCCACCGCCCTGTAGTAGAAACTTCTGTCTTGGATCCTTTTATAACCCTGCCGCTGAAACAGTACTTAGTGACGAAATGATTCAGTGGAAGAACTCCACCATACATTGTACAGAGTGTTTAAGATGGTGAGCTAACAGCCATGGCTATCACACCAGATTCTAGTGAAACTTTTCAGGTCTGAATCACCCACACAAGCAACTGCCGTAGGTCTCATTATGGAAATTATTAATTAGCTATTAATAATTAGTGTAAGTGTACATGGACTGGGGAGAAGCATGCAAACCCTAGGAAAATATGTATAAACAATTGTATCATGGCATATGTAGAATTCATAAGGGCAAATCCTTTCTGCTGTGGAAAATTTATTTATTTATATTTTTGGCAGTACTGAGGACTGAACCTAGGGAGTATTGGACAATATCTCCAATTCTTTAAAAAATTATTCTGAGACCGTGTCTTGCTAAGTTGCTCAGTCTGGCCTTGAATTGTGTGTGTGTGTGTGTGTGTGTGTGTGTGTGTGTGTGTGTGGTACTGGGGATTGAAATCATGGCTTTCCCACTGAAGTATATCTCCAGCACTTTTAAATGAATTTAAATTTTGAGTCTTGCTACATTTCTGAGGCTGGACTTTAACTTGTGATCCTCCTGCTTCAGCCCAGTGATACATAATTTAAAATAAGCAATTTACTTATTTTTATTGTGGAAAATCCAAACATAAGCATAAGGTGCAATGGATAAGAATGGAATAATGGGTCCTCTCATCCACTGGGGTGGACAAAATTATCCTACTGTCCATGTCACTGTATAATACCCTTTTCTTGAGCATATGTGAAACTTGTGATCAGCTTTCTGGCCAATAAGATGTGCACATTTGTGACTTATTTACTTCACTTAGGAATATATCCTCAATATGTATCCATTTTCCTATGACTCTAATTTCTCTTTCTTTATGGCAGAGTAGTATTCCATTTTATAGAAAAACCACATCTTCTTTATCCAGTCTCCAACTGATAGGCAAATGGGCTGTTTCCAAGTTTTAGCTATTACAAACTGTGCCGCTATAAACATATGCGCATATATCCCTGCGGTATGATTCTTTTAATTATTTTGGAAAGACACCCAGCAGAGTGATGGCTGGGGCAAATGGAACCTCAAATCCCAGCTCTTTGAGGTATCTCCATATTGATTTCCATAGTGGTTGCACCAGTCTGCACTCCCACCAACAATGGAGAAGGGTTCCTTTCTCCCCACAACCTGCCAACATTTGTTATTGGTTGATTTCTTGATAGCAGCCATTCTTTATGGGGTGAGGTGGAATCTCAGTGTTGTTTTCATCTGCATCTCTCGAATGACCAGTGATGTGGAACATCTGAAGTGAACAGAAATTTCTCAGATAAATAATTAAAAACAGCAGGTAAACATATGAAACAAATGTTCCAGAACCATACCGCAGCGGTATATATGCATCCCTGTTTATAGCGGCACAGTTTGCAATAGCTAAATCTTGGAAACAGCCCATTTGCCCATCAGTTGGAGACTGGATAAAGAAGATGTGGTTTTTCTATAAAATGAAATACTACTCAGCCATAATGAAAGAGAAATTAGAGTAATTCATAGGAAAATGGGTGCATATTGTGGTCATACTCTTAAGTGAAATTAGTAAGTCACACATGTGTAAATACTAGTTTCTCTGGTGTGAAAAACTAAAAGTGTAGATAAGATCCAAATGGTATAATTGACAAGGTGAAATAGGAAGAAAATGGCTAAAGGTGTAGGGGAAGTGGGAAGGGTAGGGGAAATGAAGTAAGGGAAAAGAAAAAAAATATGAAATGAAAAAAAAGTTTTTGTAAATAGGGAAGGGAGGAGGGGGTGAAGGGAGAGGGCATGGGAAAAAACTGAGAACCAAGACCTGTCATGTAAAGGTACAAGATCCCAATGATGAATGTAACTACTGTATACCTAAAAAGTATGAATAAATTCAATGAGAAAAAAAAAGATGTGCACATTTGATGTGGCCCCTGTGTGACTGTGTTATATCAGTTTCTTCTAGCTGAATCTCATTGCTGGCTTCATGAAGTCAGTGGCCATGCTGAGAAAGCCCATGTGACAATAGGTGTCCTTCAGGAAATGTAGGTGCTCTCTTGGAGCTGTGGATGGTCTCCAGGATGTTGACAGGAAGAAGCTGGGTGCTCAGTCCCACAACTGCAAGAAAACGAATTCTCACAGTTACCTGAGTGTCTCAGTCATTTCCCTCACTGCTGAGACATAAGACCAGACACCCATAACTTAAAGGGGCAGAGGTTTATTTTGGCTCAGGTTTCAGTCTCTCATAGGCTGGCTCTGAGGCAGAAGGGTATGGCATACAGGCATGGCAGAGGAAAAGCTGCTCATGAGGTTGGGAAGCAGAGAAGAGGGGAACAAACCCTAGTGCAGTTAAACTGCTCCAGACCAGGCCCCCTTTGACCAGTTTCCTTGGACCAGAGCCTGCCTCCTAACAGCAAGACAGCTATACTGCCTCCATAACCCAATCACCTTCCAAACACTATGCTTTGAGGTCCATTTTAGATCTAAACTGTAACACTGAATGAGTTCTCCACATGATGAGAACATAGCCTAGTCAACACCAAAGTGGCAGGCATGACACCCTAAAAGGAGGACTCAGTGTGCGGGTATACCTGACTCACAAAATCTGTGTTGTTTTAAAGCCACTATATTTGTAGTGATTTGCAGCAATAAAGGACTAGATATAGCTGCATCACCTGATATCAACTATTTTCAACAGTTTTCAGTATTGTTGCCTCTATAGCTTCATGTCTTTAGGAAGTAAATGGCTAGACTTAGTGATTTCACTTTCAAATGCCTTAATATGTATCTCTACCATATAAGGACTTTTAAAGAAGTATAACCATGTCTGAAAAGTTCAGCTGGAGGACAAGAGTGGGAATCTTTTTCTTTTTAGGGGCAGTTGTGGAGATTGAACTCAGATCTTCATGAGTGTGAGGCAAGTTCTTTACTGTTTAGCTAATACCTCTAGCTCCAAGAGGGGCAGTCTGTTCAAAACCATCAAGACGATGGATTATATTAATTAGATACCCGAAGAAAGGCATTTGGAACAGAGTAACATCTCCTTGATTCCATCACCCAAAGGACAGAAAAACATAAGAGATCGTCTTTCACTGGAAACCTCAGAAGCTTGCCAGTTGGACCTTTAATAACAGTGCAATCTCAGAGTTGTCCCATTAGCTTGTTTGTTGTACAGCATCTAAAAGAATTTAAGATTAATTTTGATTATATGTTTAGGATCCTATCCATTCCTCCACGACCCTAACCTGCTTTGGGATGACCCCTTTTCCATTTCAACTCATAACACCGTGTAATTTCACGCTATGCTCTAAATGCTATGCTCACCACTTGTCACAACAGGAGACTTCCCAACTGGCCCCATTTCTTTTTCTTTTGGATAACCAACCTTGTTTCCCTTTGACACTGCTCACCGTAGGGGAATTACTCACAGCTCTAGGACACTGGGAAAACAGTTTCTTTGAGCTGGGTAAGACAGTGCCTCGCAGGGTTGTGCAAATGTGCTTCGCGCTAAGAGCCTAGCACAAAGATATTCTACCCAGAAATACCCTTTGTTGGTTTTCTTGTCCAACCACCGTATACCAGAACGCCCAGCGCCACGCCCTCCTGTCTGTGTCGCGGGGCATTCAGGGACTTGTAGTTTTTAGGTCCCCAAATCCATGTTTCCTCTTAGAGCTAGGAGGAGAGAGCAAGAACTACACATCCCAGTGGGCCATGAAAGGAAAGCGCGGCTCCGAAAACCGAACCTCCCAGCCCAGCTGCCTTCTATCTCCGTTGCCCTAGGGCTGTGCTCACCTTAGTGAGGGCTGTGATCCCGCGCAGGCGCCTCGCACTCGGGAGGGCAGGGGGTTGCACCACCGGATAGCGGGGCTGTCAGGTAGACCCGAAAGGAGGCGCGGGTAGAGTGGACAGACTCGCAGTCCCTCTGCTGCTGAGCAGTCGCTTCGATAGGGAGAAATTAAACGAGCAGATTGTGAGCGCCCATGAGCAAAAAGTGGAGAAAGAAAGGGACCGGGAGGCAGCTACCCAAACAACCTGGCTGCCAAAGGGCTTTTACTGCGGAAGACCTGGGCCAGGGCCAGAGGGAACCCAGACGACTCTGCCCTCTCCACTCTACTCTTTCCTTCTTGTTTGAAAGCTGGGCCCCAAGGCCCTCACCCGTACCCCAGTTCGGGAGCCAAACTGGCCTCGCTCGCCTCTCACTATCCTGTCACCAAATAGCCCCACCCCTCCAAGCTCAGGGCATCAGCAAAGTACCCCGGCGAGTCAACCAGGCGCCCCGCTAGAAAGAAAGAGGAAGCGCTGGGGGCAGGCCGGGGAGAGTCATCCCTCTGAGCCGCGGGTCCCCAGGAGTCACAAGAATGGGTTTGTTCGAGGCTGTGTGAATGAATGTGTGTGTCCCGAGACAGCAGCTGCTGCGGGCAGTAAGGCCGTGGAGAAGAGGGCAGGCGGACAGATTCCCGCGAAGGGCGCACGGCGCGGCAGGCAGGACTCCATCGCTCCCTGGGCGATGCCACCTGGAGCGCAGCGCCTTTCCCTGAGAGGAGTACCGGCTCCAGCCCCGAGGGCACAGGGGCGGGAACCCCGCGGAGCCCGAGTCAGGGCTCAACTGGCTGGGAGGAGGAGGAGGAGAGGAGGAGCCG